TGAAATAGTTTAGAAAGAAAGAGTTATGGAATGAGTTTTTTGGGTATTCTCAAAAATTGGATATCGATGAACTAGACTTCTGTTATGCTACTGTATACTATTTTTTTTTTATATTCCATTGTTTATTTTTATTTAAACGTGGGCAACTTCGAGTTGCAATATTCCAACGATTTACAAAGTAATGATTATATTGTTGAAATTTTAAAATGATTTCTGATATTAAGAAATTATTAATTTATTTTTACGAGAGAATAATAACACAATCTAAATGATTCTTGAAATCTATTGATAATTAATTAAACCTCTTTGAACAATTTTTATAATACAAGTTTTCGTGTTTTTGTAAAATCCATTTCTTATATGCATTAATGGTAATATTTTTTCGGCTAATTAAATATATATTTATTAAAACAAATATATGACTAAGATACGATTTAAATATCACTATTACATGCAAGTAATTACTGACACGTTTAAAAAATATGGCCTAAATAAATAAACGTGGGAAATTTTGAACATAACATTATTCTATACATATTACAATAAACCTACTAAAAATAAGGCATAAATTTATACTACTCAAAACATCACTATAACGTACGCACATATTAAAATGTTTCAAAAATATTTTTCCACATGAATGAACGTGCGAAATATTTAGCAAAATAGCACCATTTCACATATATTACAATAAACCAATTTACAATAAGATATAACGCAAACTTGTATTATGTAAAATATCATTATTACGTATACGTAAATATCTACACGTTTAAAAAAAAATACGCTTCAAATAAATGAATGTGTGAAATTTTGAACATATCACATCACTCCAAGTAAATTAAAACAAAACTTATTAAAATACTACATAAAGAGGAGTCGAATTCGAAACATTTCCATTAACATATACGCGTACTACTATAAATTACAAAAAATCTGATAGAAATGAATGTTATGTTAAAAATTTGGAAGATAGATAGGAATAAACGAGTTTGTTCGTTTTCAACGACCGTAAACGTGACTTTGACGATTTCCTTTTTCTCTCTTTCTCTCTCTCTCTTTCTTTTTCTACGTATCCGTGTTAATTAATTTGCCCGGTTGTTAAAGAGGACAGGGCCATAGGAGGAAAAGAATTGACACGTTTAAATCGTCCAACAAAGGAGCGAGTTAGCGTATCGCGCGTGCTGGAGCGAACGAACGAGCTCGCAGAAGAGAGTATGAGCGGGTTACGTGCTTCGGTGACATTTAAGTCGCATATATGCTCGCCTTATTAAGCACGCACGTTGCCTGCCCGTGTAAGACTCGCGAGGCGTTGACGAGAGGTGCTCGTATTTTTTAAAGTGACACTGCCAGACGTTTTACATATACTATATTCTTACTACATATTATAATACACAGCTTTCGATTTATTTGACTATATACAGTTCCATATTTGTATGCATGTGTATATGTATGTGTGTGTATGGATATGTATAGTTATTTGCTTATCATATCTATGGATGCATGATTAATGTATGTATGTATGTATGTGTGTGTGTGTATGGATATGTATAGTTATTTGCTTAACATATCTATGAATGTATGTATCTATGTATGTATGTGAATATATTTGTGGGTTTAGTTATTTGTCCTGTCATAATATGTATGTATGAATGTATTTTGTATGAATTTATTTATGTACTTTGTTATTTGCTAGTCATATATGTGTGGATATGCGTATGAATTTATGTATAAGTGTATAAATGTATTTATTTGTATAATTATTTGCTTGTTATACGGATGAATGTATGGATGTATGGTGTGTAAATGTATTTATATGTAGGGGTATGTATAATTATTTGCTTATCATATGTATGCATAGTTATTTATTTATTATATATGTATATGTATGATGAATGATTTTTGGATGAATGCACTTATATGTGTGTGTGGGGGTATGTGTAGTTATATTATAGCTCATGACGTGTGTATTTTGTTATGTTTTGTGGATAACAGCCAAGGGTAGGGTTGTTAACGACGTGTCTCGTCCAAAAAGGAAAAGGAAAAGAAAAAGAAGAAGTAAAAAGGAGGAAGAAAACAAGGCAGGTGTGTTGCACACGAAAAACTTATGCTGCTTCTTCGTTGCTTTTCTTTCTTTCGACGTTTCCATCGTGGAACACGTTGATGAGAAAAGTCAATGGGACGAGTTCGGGTCGTATTTCTCTGGAAATAGAGAGACGAGTAAAAAGTATAGACATATTCTCTCTTTTTCTTTTTTTTCTTTTTTTTTGAAACAGAGTAAGGTTGAAAAATGTGTGAGCGTATATTTTTTGTTTCTTGTACTCTGACACGAATTTTTATCGCGTGTTTGTTAAATGAAATTTTTCTCTTTCGCTTATTTTATATTTTTACAATATTTTCGTGTCTTTGTTAATTATATGTATTTTCTATTATTATAGTTGAAAAATAAAGTAATAGAAAATAGGAGAATATTAATATTTATAATGTGCGTGTGTATTTTGTTTTTATTTCAAATTAAATTTTTTCTAATTAGCTAATGTTAGCCAAAATTTTTTCTATGTTATTTAATCTAAAAACAATTTTTTTTTTTTTTTATTAATCATTGTTAATTATGTACTTTATTTGATATTTTAATTGGGAAATAAGAGAATATTGATAGAGTACTATACAAGAGAAGAGAATTGAATTGGATCGATCCCACTTAGTATCTGCGTTGTAACGCTTTGAAGAGGGTAATAAAGAGATAGATAAAAAGTATGAGAGAGAGAGAGAAAGAGAGAGTGTGAGAGTGAGAGAGAGAGGGATTCAATTGATTTGCTGGAATTGATGCACAAAAAGGCCTTTAATAGGTGTCAATTATCCTCGCCCACGGTTTCCGACCATTATCCAATCCTGAACGTTCAAAGAGAGGTGCAAAAATTTGTTCATCATAATATCGTTGATATTTAAAAAGATTTTGTTCGTTCCTCTAGTTAATTTCACAAAGCCGAACTAAATTTGATTTCATTTGAACTAATTCTTCATAATATTTTTTTTATTCAACCGATCAGAATCATTTAATCGTACCTCTATTTTTTTTTGTTTTCTTTTTTCGTAATTAATTTATGTTTTCTTTTTTTTTCTTTTTTTACGAAAGTTCAAAGAACGTTGCATAAATCTTTTCGGTTTGATATTGAAAACGATTTTACGCACGGACAAATTTCACGAATTTTCATTTGATTTGATCTGATCTGATCTGATTTGATTTGATTTGATTTGATTTAATTTGATTTGATTTGATTCGATTTGATTTGACTGGAACAAATTTCTACTCCTTCGATCCACCGATTGGCAAAAAAATAAAATTCAACATTATCGTTCCTATTTTCTCTTTGTTCTTATTCTTTTTGTGATTTCATTCATTGGTTCTTTCGTTGAATTTTTTTCACAGGATATAAATCTGACGAATGATAAACGATGAATATCGTGATATTCGAAAATGTGTGTGTGATAATGTAATAAAGTTATAATATTTTATGTGTTTGTTCGTATCATGATGAAAGGCCAATAATGTTAATGGTGAAAGGAAATTTTATTAATGTGACGAACGTTAATGGAACTTGGATCGTTCTAAAAACAAATAGAATTTTTAAATAATTATTATTATTATAAAATATGATAAAAATATGTAATAATAATAATTATTATCATCATCATCATTATTATTATTATTATGAATATATAATAATACATATAATATTATTGTAACTATTATTAATTATTCATACTAGTATATATATATATTAATTTTTTTCTAATAAAAGTAGACATATGTGACATAATGTAATAAAGTAATAATGTTGATGACACGATGAAAAGTCGGTCATGTTAATGGCAAAAGGAAATTTCTGTAAGTAACGAGTGCTAATGGAACGTGGATCGTTCAAAACAGGATTTTGCGAGATCGATAAAAAGGGTTTCGGTCAAGGGAGTGGGTCGTACCTAATGAAGGATTAATTAGGGCATCGCTTTTGTATATGGATCGCGTATATGCGCGATGCACCTCGACACATTTCTCTCTCTTTTTCATTGGTCGATTCTCTGCGGTCCGTTTCGACGATAAAATGGAACGCTAGCAAGAGATATCCATCGGCTTTTTATCCGAAAATCGATAGGAAAAGAACAAAACGAAAATACAAATAGTCCGATAAAAGTGTTCTCAAGTTTCACGATGAACTAAAACAAAAAAAGGAAAAAGAAAGAAGGAAAAAAGAAAGTCGATGATAATTATAATATACTTAAAATAAAAACCTAGAAAAAACAATTATGTTTGATCTATTATCGTTCTACGATCCTTAAAATATGTTTCAGAAGGTCTATAAATAAAATAAAAAATATGCACGTAAACGTAAATGCATAAACACACACACACACACACACATAGACACCATCGATATTCCTTCAAGTAGGACGAGAACTTGCAGTGTACGCTCGATTGCGTAATCCTAGTGGTCAAAGGGTCTGCTCCTTCGGATTAGTTAGTAAAAATATCTATCTTTGTGTTATGGGGCAACGTGTGTGATTGACGTCAAAAAGAAAATAAAAAAACCCGCGCTGGAATAAGGATAGAAAGAGATGGAAGAAGAATGACGTCAGTACGGATAGGTCTTTAATAAATTTCACGGTGCCTGAACACTGTTTTATATCAAAACCAACAAGGATAAGATAATCGGGATCTAACGGTTTACAGAGATAATTTGGATAGTTAGGCGATAAATCGTATGTTCGTATATTAACTGGTTTCGAGAATGTAGCATGAATTACTTAAGTAAAAAAAAAAAAAAAAAAGGGGCGTGGGGTGAGATAGCGAAGGCGGATAGAAGATAAATAAATTTGTCTTATAACCGATACGTTTTGAATGCTTATATTTCTATCTACGAGATAATTTATTTCATCTTATATTAGACTTACTTAAGCGTGTCGAGTGAATTTATTTATTTATTTATTTATTTATAAAATAGGACGACGAAGATAAAGACAGTGGGAAGAAGAGGTAATAAAAAGTATGGATTAAAAGTATGGAAAAGACATTCCGCAGTGACATAGAACTTCAACGAAGCATGACTCAATCTACGTCACTTCACATCGACATGCTCTTTTGTGGTTGTGTAGACCTCGTAAGTAAGTAAGGTCACCTCGATCCACCTGTCGTGAAAGTGAATCCGTTGCGTCGTCTTCTCTTTCTCTTTCTTTTCTTATTTTCTGTACCAACTTTTATTTCTATCTTTTCTATATATCGAACAAATCATTTTCTAGAATTAGTTAGCATAGAAATTAATGCAAAAATTCGATATTTTACATTTGAATGATTATTATTTAATATTTTGTTTAGTTATTTCAATGCTTTATTATAATTTAACATTTTTTTAAATATATATATAAATTTTCTGTTTGCGATTTTTAGTATTTTGAAAAATCAATTACATATTTTAATGGTAATATTGTTTGTTCGGTGTATGCAAGAATCTGACGTGTGACGTTTCAACGATCCTTTTTTAGTTATTTTTTTCTTTTACATTAAAGGAAATAAAAAAAATGTGAGCACCTTTCATTTGCAGGATTTCTATCAGACAAATTTTTTCGAGTGTTTATATTATCATCGAATATATGAATAATGTTTGGGTATTATCTATCTCTTATCAAAACTGAATTTTGCATTTCAATACTGCATAATCGTTGACGTGGAAAGCGAACGATAAAGTGCAATGTTTGTGATGGAACTAATCGATTATCTCGATTTTTTGTTCTTTCGGCAGGACGACTCGGTCAACAGAAATATTTGTTCGTATGCAATAATAGTCATAGAAATTTATTCATCATTGTCCAACATTTTGTCGAAATTTTGAAAAATATTTTCTGACAGAAATGTAATAATGGCATACGAATTTCTCATTATTATGTTAAAACGAATAACAATCGGTTCGGAACTAGTTGGATGCCGCAAGAATTTGTCGATGATCAGACATCTATTTCGAAAACTTTCTTTTTACATTTTTATTTAAATAAAAGAGAAAGAATAATACAGAATACACGATTTATATGAAATTACTAAGACATTTTAAAAGCCAATAAATTGATTTTACCTAAATTAATTAAAAAATAAAGTAAAATCATACTAATTCGCATAGTTTCCTAAAATTATCTTAAACTATATAAATTAGTCGAAAACTCTTCGAACAGTTAAAGCGTTAAAAGCAACCAAATTTAATTTCAAAACTATTTAACAATAAAAACAAACATTAGGCCTAAAAATATTAACTCCCTAAAAATCATCTAAAAAAATATCTTCAATCAATCCGAAAAATTCTTTTACACCAGTCGAAGTCTTAAAAACGACCGAAATTGATTTCAAAACTATTCAACCAAAGAAAAAACTAAAGAAAATAAACATCTCGAGACTAAAAATATATTACCAATCAATCCGAAAAACTCTCTTTTACACTGGTTAAAGTCTTAAAAGTAAGCAACACCGAATTAACTTCGAAACCGTTTAACGAAAAAAAAAAAAGAAAAAAAAACGAAAAAACATACGAACACGAGAAGGAGAAGGAAAAAGGAAGAAAGAAAAAAAGAAAAAGAAAATTGAAGCCCAAAGAGGGGTAGTAGACAAATAGTTTTCCCTCAAAAATATCTAAAATACTTTGTTAAATCTAGAAGAGAGAGGTAGCAGGCTTGTTTGAGATCACTCGAGGTCACATAGAAAGAGAGAGAGAGAGAGAGAGAGTGTTAGAGAGGACCTGGATAGCAAGAAACTAAATTTAAACATTGAGTTGGTAAGAACACTGATCCACCACCGGGAATGGAATGGAATGGAATTCGAAATTCGGGCGCGTTCATATAGTTGGATATATGAACAGAGAGAGAGAGAGAGAGAGAAAAAGAGAGAGGGAGAGAAAGGGCTAAGGGAAATGGTACGCCATCTTCTCGTTGAATAAGGGAAACAACCCCCCGCGATTGATTTTTCGCGCGAACGTACCGCCACCGGCGCCGTTTACCAAATAAGGAAGAGGACTCGAACCCCGCGCCACTACAAAGACCCCGGCGTCGCGACGCTGTGTTCTGCAACATGGCCGCTTGCACCGACTGACAGTTGTTGCTCTTACTTCTAACGACGCGTACCACCTTCCCTTATTTTTTATTCCTTAGTGATATTTATTCTATTTATTTTCTCTTGACCGGGTGAAACAACATTATTATCTACGCGAAATACTTCTTTCTTTTTTTTTTTTTAAATTATTTTTCATTCACAATAAATATCATGCGTCGTCGTTACAAATTACGACGCGATTCCGCAACGGTGAGTCTCGTTAATTCGTTAAACAAACGTCGTTTTTGTTTCATTTATTTTGATTTTTCTCTAATTTATTGTTCGAGGATTGTTGTTATATATATATGGATAGTATAGAGTTTGTTTTTATATTTGTAAATATATTTAGGACGATTAAACGGTGGATACGTAATCGTCGTATACTTCTTTGTTGGTTTTATTTATTGTTATTATCACAGTTATTCTATGTGATATGATATGTTATTTGCCAATTATTTTCTTTTTTTTTTTGTTCATGATTCTTGTTGTTTTTTTTTCGGTGCTGCAAAATTTGAATATATCATTTTTATTTGAATTTAATTCAATTTTGAATGACACAGATAGTGACACATATGTGATCGGAAAATAACCGCTAAAGTTCATTGTTCCTGGAAGACCAGTTCGTAAAGAGCAACGTACTAGTTCCATCGATTTATCCTATTTTAATTCCATTCATAGTCTCACTTTGTGTGAATTGATTAGAAGTATTCGATAATGGGTTGCTTATTTCAAAGAGATCAATTTTTAACTTCGGTCAGTGATTAACAATGCATTTATGTAAATAATAATTTCGAAAGTTTATTCTTAAACTTACAAATGATTGTTAAAAAAGTTACTATTAGTTGACTTCTGATACTTTTCTAATATATTTTTTTTTATCGGATTGGTTGTTATTATCGATAATAAGACAGATCGAAAATCCTACATATCGGTCCATTAATCTTAATCTTGATAACGAATTGAAGTTGCTATTCACAACACACATACACACACACACACACGCACACACGTACATAGTTATAGAAAGAGAGTTCGTATAAATCGTGGAAGATCGATAACCGATCGTCGATAGAATTTCAAACACGATTCCTTCGAGTAGTAGACTTGCATCGAGCATCTCGAGTACGATAAACGTGCGATTAATCAAGAAAACGTTGATGGAGTTTGGTTCGTTCTAACGTAACTACAACACGATATAGAAATCTAATTAACAATAATCCATACAATACACACCCTTCCAATATTTTCTTTTGAATACTGTTAATTAATTTATTTACTCTTATATTAAATTATATATATATATATATATTTGTGAGATATTTTATTTTAAATTTGTATTATTATATTAATTAATTAAAATTAAATAAATTTATAGAGAGACATTTATGAATGAAAGGTCTAGTAAACAAACGTTGTTTACGTGCTTACGTTTCTCGTAGTAAGCATAATTCAATACACTTGTGAAATCACTCGCGGTGTATGCATAAATGCATGTATATGTGTATAGAAGTATGTACGTGTACGTGTACGTGTAAATAAGTGTTGAGAGGAGGACAAAATTTCTCTCGGTGAGATTTTCACTGAGTATAATTTTAGATCTCCTGCAAGCTACGAACTTATTTCTCCGTTTTTTTTTTCTTTCTTTCTCTCTTTCTATCTTATGAGGGCAACATTCTTCGTTGTAATAGATATTAGGAGAGATTCTTGTTGGAATAGCATAATATAAAAAATATGAAATATTTTGTTACTGCATAGTGTGTCCTAAAATTTATTTTACCGAACTTAAAAACTTAGACATTTTTTGTTAAGCAAATATTTGTAGTATTGCCATACTTTTTTTTTAGAAAGATTGTAACTAAAAGATTCATATTTTGGAGATGAACTATAATTATTTATAATGATTTAATAAAAATAATATATCCTTACCGCGTATCTCAAAGCGAGTACGCCAAATATTTTATAATGAAATGAATAAAAACTAAAGCAGTTAATTATTTGTCCTTTTGTTAAGTCTTATTTGGGTAAAGCGACTTTTGGGACATCCTGTATTTAAATTATTCACCGTTAGAACTACCGTAATTCGTTCCCTTTTATGTTGTGTCATATGTAATTATTTTCACCATGCGTATGAAAGAAAGAAAGAAAAAGAAAAAGAAAAAGAGAGAGAGAGAGAGAGAAGATTTAACCGTGACTGGGAACTTTCAGATAAGAAAGTCACGTAAAGTATTATCGATCGAGTATTTTATAAAAGAAAACTGCTGTACAGCAGCAGCACGTAAATACAATTTTCTTTAGAGTGGATATTAACGTATGGCAATAATAACACCTGCGAGACTACGCAAATGATTACAGAAGACAGATGGTGGCATCAATTTCTCCAGTAATAATAATAATAACTACACTAACAACACTAACAACACTAACAAAACTTGAAAAACGTGGCTTAGCATTTATCCAATCGATTAAAATAAAAATTTCAAATTTACTAGAGATTATAATTATTTTCTAATTATTCACCACGCGTTAAATCGTGTCGTGTCAATCGTTGAACAAATTTTAACACGAATATATTAAATCCGTGTACGCTTTCAAATGTATGTGTGTGTGTGTGTGTATGCCTATGCGCGTGTATACCAATTTCAACTATAAGTACTTGGACGGAAATGATACGTGTCGGCAATTCATAGGCTGTGTGGTAGACCAGGATTGATTGTAATTTTAATCGATTCACGTGCCACCATAAATTTAGCAATTATCTTTGGGGATCGGTTCTTCTCCCCTTTTGACGATTATTTCGTAGCTAATAGGTTCGTGAAAGATCGTTTGAAGGTACCATCACCACCCCCTCCTCCTCCTCCTCCTCCTCCTCCTCATTCTCCTTCACCTCCTTCTCCGGCTACACTTAATCCTCTTCCTCTTCCTTCCATTATCAAACTACATTCAGGTGAGGTCAGCAGCGAGTTTCATTTGTCGGAATTACCGGAAGGTTCATCCCTCATCGACGAGTTCGCAGAATCCATTTATTCAGCCGTTTCGATACAGATAACTAGAACCCCTCCCTCTTTTTTTTTATACCTTTCTTTTTTTATACATTGTCCTCCACCCCCCTCCTCCTCCTCCTCCTCCTTCTATTTCTCTTCCTCCTCTTCTTTTTTCTCCTTCTTCCCTCCCACCCTTTCGAAGGTAATGCGCCAGTTCGTATCTCCTCTATGCAAGATTAACGTTTCATAACTGCCAAGCTGTCTATCGAGAAAAGAGCTTTTTATACTTTCTTTCCTGTCTGGTATAAATTCTTGAATCTTTAATAATTCTTTGGATTTATCGTGTATTTTAAAGTACACACTTATTGCTAGTATGTATTAACTTATATCGCGAGTACTCGTTTAGATCGTTGAAATTTATTTTGTAGGATTTTTTTAATTTTTCTCTCTTGTTTATTTTTTTTTTTTCTAATACAGATTATTGGATAAACTAGTTGTTAATTTGTATCATTTTAGATGCCCTTTCTGTTGTAAGTCGATCCTGACCAAAAAGTACTGGGGATTCAGGATGGGAAAGCTTTTGAGTCTTCTGGCTCGGGACGAGTCTACCTGTTGCACGCCTCAAAAGTACGACGTCTTTTTGGATTTCGAGAGTAAGTTGGAATTTCCTTTTTTTTATTTTGTTTGTTTATTTGGTTGTTTGATATCAAAGAAATGTATTTCTTTTTTCATACCTCTTATCTTTTTTTTTTTCTTCAACTTGTAACGTTTTACAAGACAATTTTAACAAGATTTTGAAAAATATAATTGGCTACGTTTTAAATATAGATAATATAAAAATTGATTTTTTAAATAATATGTACAATTTATTTGTTAATTTATGGTTTAGACGCACAACCATCGGATATCGAGCGCGAGACATTCGATGCCGTTCAAAGGGTCCTGAAAAATTCCGAATCTATTTTAGAAGAGATTCAATGTTACAAAGGAGCCGGAAAAGAAATAAGAGAAGCAATATCGGCCCCTACGGAAGAGTGCCAACGGAAAGCTTATTTGACCGTAGCACCCCTCGTTGCAAAGCTCAAAAGATTCTACGAATTTTCTTTGGAATTAGGTACGTATGTTTTTTGCTTAAATTCTTTTTTCCTTTTTTTTTTTTTTTTTGTTTTATTTCCTTCCACGTTGCGACAAAATAAAATATACCCTTAATGTCGTTGGAAAAAAATATCCTGACATCAGGTATTCTCTTTTTTTATTTTTTTTTTATTTTTTTTTTTATAAAGGTAGAAATATTTTTTTTTCCTCGTCAATTTCCATATTTTTTTTCGAATGAAATAAATTTCACACTATAATTAGATCTAAAAGAAATTTTGTTATTCCCTCAAAGTTGCTTTTAAAAAAAGTGTGTCTATATAATATATTTTAATATCAAAAAAAAAGTATTTTGCATTGATTTTTTTGTTTGAAAGCGTGATACCAAAAGTAGTTTCTCTATTCCTCTTTTCATTTTATTTCCATATTACAAAGTAAGATATAAACCAAATGGTGTTCGCAAAAAATATTACGATTAAATGTATTTTTAAAATATATAAATAGTTAACAATATTTTTATAAATTTATTTTGGATTTCATTTTTTTTTAGAAAGCGTAGTACCAAAAATATTGGGACAATTATGTTCCGGTAACTTAACACCAACGCAACATTTGGAAACCCAACAAGCATTGGTCAAACAACTCGCTGAGATCCTTGAATTTGTATTGAAGTTTGACGAGCACAAAATGAAAACTCCAGCAATCCAAAATGACTTTAGTTATTACCGTAGAACATTAACGAGGGCATCGTTGACACGACAAGACAATGCGGAGAAGGACCTCGTTGTTGGGAATGAGTTGGCTAACCGAATGTCCTTGTTTTACGCCCACGCAACCCCTATGCTTCGTGTTCTTAGTAACGCGACCATTACCTTCTTGATGGACGTAAGTGCTTTCTTCAACTCTCCCCTTTACTTTTTTTTTTCTCTTTGATTTTATCGATATCTAGGACATTCCTACATATAACTATAGACCTAAATACATAGATTATTATAGTTATTATAGTACAGTAATAGGTTATTCTTATGCGAATGTTCTAACACGCGATTGAAATTATTTAAAATTATTCTTGGAATACGTAGGAAACATTTTTTTTTTAAATTAGTATAAATTAAGTAAGCGAGAGTGTAGAAGTAGCGTAGATCTAAAAAAAAAATAATATTTGAAAATCCCAATTAAGAATTAAAGTTATTACGAAAATATTTCTCTTGGAATATGATGCAAAATATTAATATAAAGTCATCGTGTATAAATTTACATAAATTATATACTTTTTTTTTTTAATTAGTATAAATTTAATAGGTATACACTTGAGAAGAAATGTAGATCTTGAAAAAAATAATATTTGATAATCCCAATTAAGAATTAAAGCTCTTACGAAAATATTTCTCTTTGAATATGACGCAAAATATTAATATAAAGTCATCGTGTATAAATTTACATAAATTATTCTCTCTCTATATTACTCTCTTCTATTTCTAAGTGCAAACCATAAAATAAAATAAAATCGAAAGTTGAGAAATGAAGTTAGCGAGAAAGTAATGATGCGCGGCACTAATTCTTTCTACTTACGCAAGATAATCCCGTTGGTAATGAATTTTCGTTAGTAATGCCTATCACAGAGACATAATTAACAAAGTAATGCGAGACCAAGAACAAGTTCCTCTTTATTAAAGACGAACGAATAATAATCTGCATGTACATAAATATGGGTCCCTATGTTATACATAAATTTATCCTATACATATCATGTGTACACACACATACAAATTCGTATATATATATATATATATATGCCAATATTATATACCAAAAATATATATATATATATATATATATATATATATATGTGTGCGTACCTATGTGTGTTGGGTATAGCTGAGTCACGCGAGTATTACTTTCTTGATGAATCTAAGTGGTCTAACTTATTTACTTTGTTCCATTTTACCAAATCGAAGATACTTTCTTTTTCTTTTTATCTTTTTTTATTGGCGTTATTTCCGGCCATTAGACTTTCCATTCATACATCAACAATCAAGGAACAACGGGCTTCTTTATATTTGCTATAAATCAAATGACATTTCGATTTTTTCCAAATTACTATTAAACTACAGTTTGTTGTTTAAACATGAAATAAAAAATTGATATCTTTTTTCTCATTTTTATAGACGTTAATTCCAGCTATTAGATATTCCATTAAAACATTATCAATCGGGGAAACAACGAACTTCTTTTTCTTTTTATTCGCAACTCGTTAATTGACATTTTGATATTTTTCAAATTACTACGAACATGATTTCTAATATAAATGTACTTGCGTATTTTTACACACGATATTATGTTTGAGTTTAATAAAAGGAATTGTAGGAGGATTATTGTAATATAAAAGAATAAAGAGAAACTAGAATTAAAAGTGGTCGATTCTACTGTTTGCTCTGGTGGAGCAGAAAATTGATAGGCATCGGACGTTGGAATTCAGATTACACGAACTCACTTTGAACCATTATAGGGAATAATGGAAGGTAGCGACAGTTAGGTAAACGTTAGGTATATAGTTTCAGGCAAAAATCGATACACTGTCTACCAAGAACGATATTCCTGCTAAACATTCAATTTCATCTAAACTCAGGACCGTACTTATATATTTTTAAAATACTCTAAAATCCTCAACAATTACTACACTCTGAGAAAAAAAACAAATCTACGTCAGTTAATCAAATTCATAAAATCTTTTTCTTTCTGTTTTGGTTTCTTTTTTTTATTATTGGTATGCTAAAAATACGATTTTTCAATTTAGTTATACAATTAAATGATTTATGCGACCCTGTTGTAAGATTGTTAAGAAAATTTGTTTAATTTTTTACGAATCGATTAAAATGATAGACATTTGTTTGTTTGTAATTTTAGAACGAAGATATACCGAGGGAGAATATAACTGAAACTCTTGGGACGATGGCTAAAGTTTGTTTGAGAATGTTGGAAAATCCGTAAGTGAAATAACTTTGTAAAACATTTTTAAACTTTTATCATATACATATTATATAATATATCTCTTTTTCTTATTTTCTTTTTCTGCCGAAAAACATGTATATAACATTAATTTATTTCGTAGAAATCTGCTGGCCCAGTTTCAACGAGAAGAGACTCAACTATTCGTATTGAGAGTTATGGTAGGATTGGTTATACTTTACGATCATGTTCATCCACAGGGTGCTTTCGTCAAAGGTTCGAACGTTGACGTGAGTACTATATCTCTCAATATATAATTATATTTACTAATAAATTTTAATTACGATTGATTAATTCTTCTCTATTTAAAACAATTCTTTATACAAAATTACGTAGATGTATATTTTTGAAAAATGATTGATAATTAGTTTATAAAAAAATTGTTTAAATAAATGAATATGGATATCGATGACGATTGACAATTATTCTATTGAAAAAAATATTGAAATAAAATAACGTAAAACAAATGAATTTTTATAATTGATCGATAATTATTCAATAAATAATTCATGGATACATTTTGACGGTGAATGATAATCGTGTTAACAAACGTTTTGTTTAAAATTACAGGTAAAGGGTTGTGTGAAATTATTGAAGGATCAACCGCCGTACAAAAGTGAGGGTCTTTTGAATGCGTTGCGTTACACGACGAAACATTTGAACGAGGAGAACACACCGAAAAATATAAAAAATCTTTTAGCAGCATGATTACCGAAACAACGCGGCTGCTGCATCAGAAGTTGAATGTGTTCGATGGCCGCGAATAAATCCGGTTTACGAATTAATCATCTCAAATGCGAGGTCACTATCGTTTTTTATCAGCGTATTTTAATATACGACGGACATTACGAGAAAGAGTTATGCGAATGAATTAAAACGAACGAAAGAAAGTAAGCAAGCAAAACAAAGAAAAGCAAAGAAGAAAGGATTGAGGAAGGAAAGAATGAAAAACGAATGAAAAAAAGAAAAAAGATGTCCGTGTGTATATACGCCATGATTATCCCTTGCGACCTCTGGATCCTAACGAATAAAACAAAAAATACCAAAAAACAACAACTACCACCACCACCAACAGCACTACCACCACCCCGTTTATTGTGGATGCTTGGCTATGGCTACTGGACCACGAAGTCTTTCGAAAACGCTAAACGTTTATACAAAAAAAAAAAAAAAAAAAAAAAAAAAAAAAAAAAAAAAAAAAAA